CAAAATTATTATAGTACAGTAATTTATAAATCTTATACCAGGGAGGTGACAAAGAGGAATAATTTAAATTATATTTGAGTTATAATATTATTGAACACATAATTACAACAGTTAACAAATATTCTGAGGATATTACTCATTTATAGACTTTCAAACATTTTATATAGGGCTTTATAATATTTTATATATGAAAATAAAAATAAAAAATTATGATAATTGAATATAATAAAATTTCAAAAAGAGAAACTTACTAAGAGCAAGCTTAAAATCATTTGCTTGTCTTATATTAATAATAATAATAATAATTAAAAAAAAAACTAAAATATATTTTTTTAAATACTGTTCGTACATTAGTCAACTAAATAATATTTTGTTTTCGTTTCACAATATAAAACATATTTATTTAAAATGAGATTAGTTTATAAATACACAAAAATATATATTTGAATATGTAAGATTACAATAATAATAAAAAATATAGTTATTTGATTGCTTAAAATAAGTACAACATTGAGAAAATAATAATAATAATAATAATAATAATAATAATACACAATATATAATTACATTTATTTCAACAAATTTCATGTCGAGGTGCATTTTGTTATAAATAGCACATATACATATAGTTAACATACAATAAATTAATTTGTTAATAATTCATTAGTTAATATTAATAATTTAAATATTCAAATAAATAACTAAAAGGCACTATTACATGTTAAACACATGATAAATGTAACAAAATTACATTTTAAAATAATACATTTCATAAGGGGGAAAAAAAATGTTAATACATGAAAAAACCATGTTTATAATTAGAGAAGAGGGATATTGAGCAGAAATTTGATTTGGTTATAATTGCACAATAATTGTTTTACTATAAATTTAAACTTAAATTTGATTAAAGGAACTTTGGCACGGCTTTCATGTCAATAAATCTCAACAATAATTATTAATTTGCGTTTAGAAATTAGTTCAAGTACTGAATTAAGACTAGACTACATATTAATCATGTATTAAAAAGTTGCCAGTAAAATAAAAAAAAAATAAATCACGGACCAATTAAGTTAAGAGATTTTTTTACACCCATCCACCATAATATTTATTTAGAATGATTAAGTTGTTCTACAACTTTAATGCAGATTTTAATAAAATTCAGTAACATAATAGAAACATAACAAACAATAACCAATTGGTGCAAGTACAATAAGAATAGAAACTCATTGCGCCATCGATAACAAGTAAGTGTCAATTAATTATATCTTTTGTTATTCATTATTAGTCTAAAAATTACAATTAGTTTCATTGTCTATAATTTCTCCTTAGACGATACCCAAATGTGTTTTCCAGAATTCCTTTCGATCATTGCTTTAACATTTTCATACACTTCTTCATAAGTGTCACCTTGAACTATGGCCGTGAACTGATCACCGAATTCTTGTTCTATTTTAGCTGAACGTTCTATGTGTTTTCTAGCTTCGGCTTCGCTCATACGCTTGCACATTTCCATTAGTGATTCTAAGCTCTTTGGCTTAAAGAATATTGCTATTGAATGCAATCCAGCAACTTGGAGTCGTTTAATGGCATTACCGCTCACATCAAGTATACAATGTTTACCCGACTCAGCTACATGACGAACAGATGAAACCGATGTTCCATAAAGGTTTCCATTAAATTGTCCAGCTTCAATGAACAAATGATTTTGAATGTCCAGATCCATTTGTTCTCGAGATTTTACAAAATGATAATCACGACCATCAACTTCATCTGGTCTTATTTCGCGAGTGGTATGTGGAACACATGAACTAAAACGTTCTGGATATTCTGAAATGAGGTCGTCATTAATTTTATCTTTTAACGGTCCAAGTATAATGACAGGTCGTGTATAGGATATTTGAACGCGGACCTGTAAATATTTAAATAGGTATTACACAACTAAAAAATAATAAACATTTATATTATACATTTTAAAAATTATCTATTATTTACACAATGGAAATGTTTTAATATTCACTGCTTTATTTAAATATATTTTAAATTATAAGGTTAATCAATTTAATTAAAGTTTGAACAATTATTTTACATAATATATTTAGTACATATTAATATTGTATCATGTTTTAAGACTTCATGGGAAACATTTAATAATTTAATTCAACCAAAAAAAAAATCTGTAGTAAACTGGATATATAAAATGCTAATCTATTATTTATAATAGTTTTATTAGTTTAGGAACTAATTAATATTATTCAAATAATAATAAAAGTTCAAATTGAAAAACAAATATTAAAAAAATATTATATTAATTTCTTATTTTAATTTTTCTTATTGATATACAGAGTGTAATAGGACTATTTGACATTATAGTTATATAAAAAAAAATCCTGTTACACCTTGTATAGTATACATACAACTTACCAATTTAATTTTTAGTAATAGTGTTCTCACAATAGCATAATATGTAGTTCTTTAACAAATTTTCTATGTAAGTTTAATTAATTTAACAGTTAATAAGCAAAATTCCAAGTTTCGATTGCATTAGGTATATTTAGTTACATGACAAAAGGTTATGCTATTCATATATTATTTTCCCATTAATCTAATGTACAATATACAAAATTAATAACTATGAAACTATTAATTAGTAATATTGTTTTAAAATAAGTTATAAAAAGTAAAACCAAATTGGAAGATAATTTATTTGACAAAGGAGTTATGACTGTTTTAGTATTTTTTAATAGCCACTCAACCAAAAGCTTCATACATTGCTTTAAAAATATTTTCTTTTTAAAAGTCTGTTTTGTTTTACAGTGTTATTTAATATTTTGGTATCTATATTGTAGAGTAGCTAGACGGAAACTGTATGTGTGGGTTATTTTAAAAACAAAAACAATAAGTGTTTAAATTATATTTTAAAATATTCGCAAGACGTAAAAACAAACTAAGAATGAACTATTATATAATCTACTTCGTAACTAATTGCGCTCATTTTATAGAATGACGAGATATAATAATATTAATGTTTGTGTTAATATGCCATTATTATTAATGACATATTATTATAAGTAATTTATAACTGATAATATCTAATTATTGTGAATGACAATAACATTAATATATATTATATGAGTACAAAATTTACATAAAAACAATTTATTTTTATCTATAACTTTTCACTGGTGTAAATTATGATTTTTGTTTTGTAATACATACCACTGCTTCGTAAGAAGGAGTTTCTTCTACTTTTTCACATATGTTTTCTCTGGATTGCCTTTGTAACACCATATCATCAAGTCCGTTCTCATATTTACCGTCTTTGCCTCTTCGCACCCATGGGAATCGTCTACTAAAAGTCATTGATCTTTTTTTCCTTTCAAGTGTTGATAGCCTATCTAAACTTTTACTTTCGTTTCCACGAAACTTAACAGATCTATCACGAGCTTTTTGTTTACGTTCCCATCGGCGTTTGGATGGTATAATTCCAATACCTTCTTCTCGACCTGTAGCTAACACCTTACGTGCTTGCCACCATTCGTCATCACTTGCATTAGTGACATGAAGAATTGAACCGTATTTAAATGGTAGACCAATACTAGGAAGACCATCATCGCCAGACGGATCATAATCAAATAGTGCACGGACGTATAAAGTTTTTTTCTGAGTAGTACGAATCAATGTTCCGGTGGAAGCAGCTAGTTGAGATTTTAATTCATTTATTTTAGCTTCAAATCTAAAATGAAAAAATTAGTTTGATAAAAAAAAAAAACAATCAAAAACACATGATAAAATTTGTATAAAACATACCTGTTGTAATCATTGGGTCGATATTGAACTGTCAATACAACCGTCTGTCCAGCCCTTTTCAGGGCATTGGCTGCTTCTTCATGAGTCGGGTTATCCAAATTGACATCATTTACTTTTAATATAGTGTCTCCTATTCTTAGTTGTCCTGTTTGATCAGCTGGGCCACCAGCAAGAATTAACGATATAAATATTCCTGCACCATCTTCACCGCCAACAATATTAAATCCCAAACCCCCTGAACCTTTATGTAGCACTACTGTTCTTATATCATTAGTAGGCGGTAAACTTTCATAACTTTTTATAGTGTTTAAAGTGTCTGTAGAATAGGAATTTGGTATGATATCACCTACTTGTGAGGGGGCAGAATCTGTGTATGTAATCGGTTCAGTTTTACCAATGACCAATAAAACTTTTTCACGGGTATTTTTTAATGTTCGTACAGCTTCTTCATGGGTTACATTTTCTAAATTACGATCGCCAAGTAGAGTATTTTTAACTGCTATTAATTTATCGCCAACTAGTATTCTACCGTCTACTTGGGCAGCACCTCCATCCATTATTTTAGTCACATAGATTCCGTTATCACCAGGTATGTGTTGATTGCCAATACCACCTGCAATACTGAATCCCAATCCCTGAAAAAATAATAGAGGTAGGTAATTATTAATGAAAATAAAACAGATAGGTACTGAATATTAAACAGCAGATTTATGAATACTTATCTATAGTCCCTACCTATATAATTTATAAAAATGTATTATCTCATGTACAATTAAAGTAATGAGCACCTATTATGAAACTAAATTAAATTATAATTTATACGTTAAATTACAAAATGTAATAAAATAAATTATGAGTATGGGATAAATGATTACAAGTGGTATAAATAATATAAACAAAGGTGTAAGATGGCATTGGACATATTTTTTTTTTTTCAATGTCAACATTATAGTTGTTATGGTTACAAAAGGGTTATAATTTAGCAAATTCAAATACAAGCAACCCATAAATAATATTATAGTTTGATTCAATCAATATAGGAAAATTATTGTGATATACTATAAAATATATGACAACTAGCTAATTGAATATTGAGGGAAAAGTACTACCTACCTTTTATTATAAATTATAGTCTCTTTACCTATACATTTAAATTTGTTGATTTCAATAGAGTGCCTATGTATGAAATGCGGAATAAAAAAATTATCATTACCTTGGTGCCTTTGCTGAGTTCTATTTCTAAAACGTTCGGCCCCAAAGGCAGTATATGTTTCTTGCGTTTGACACATAATGTAACTGTATGTCCCGCTCGTTTTAGTGCATCTACTGCAGTGGAATGAGGCACACCTACTACAGGTGTGTCATTGACTCTGGTGATAATATCGTTGACACACAGACGGCCGTCTCGATAGGCCGTTCCGCCGGGTATTATTTTAGTGATAAATATGGACGTGTCGTCGTCCGTTTGTGGATTGTCTGTACCACCTGAATTCACAGAGGGAAACACGAAAAGAAAAAACACAAGTAAATAAAACTTATACTAGGTCACAACAGCATTGACAACAAACAAGGAATGTGGAGAAACGTACCGGCTATGCTGAAGCCTAATCCGGAGTCACCTCTCTCCAAGGTGATCTCGTCGGTGATCCATTCGGGTTTGGCGTTGCCGTTCATCTGGGCGTCCAGACTGAACAGCGACGACACTTTTTTAATCATACCATTCGTGGGTGAGTTGATCGGCTTCTTTTTGGTGGACGCCGATCGGTTGAGTTCTTTCATAATAATAATGTCGCCGCCCGTCGCCCAGACATTCGCGTCGAGACTTTCGGCGGCCGTTGGCAGACTACTTGTCAGGGGGATCGGTCGACGTCCGGGACACTATTTTTGGAAATCGCGCGCCGAGAACACGGTCACCGCCTACCGTCTATATGATATTATTATGAGAGATATATCCAACCGCGGTTAGCGGACGCAAACGCTTTTTGGTCGCCGTGTGCGCACGTCCGCGTCTTCGAACAGTGGCGGCGCGGCGGCTGTTCCTACTCTGCTCGGCCGCAGACGCTTATCGGCGGCGGGACAAGAAGGGCTTATCGCGAGCGCGACGATTTCGAACAATATTGTAATATTGTAATATTTCAGTCGCGACTGCTGCTGTTGTTGCTGCCGATACCGCTGGAGTCCGCTGGAGACTGGGCGGTGACGAGACGGCTGTTGGACGGGTGGCGCGAGAAAAAACCGAAACGCGAAACTGTCGTACGAACAAAAAAAAATAAAATAAAAAATAAACAAATATTTCGACGTTTTATTTTAATAATTGTTTTTTTGCTAATGAGTTTTATTTAATTTCAGGAAGGTTTTTTTTTTTTTTTTGTTATTTTTGTTATTCTTCTCATTCGCCTCTCCAGCGGAATGTTTCTTTTTAATTATCGTTTAGAAAAAAAAAAAAAAACATCATTTTATTTACGTACCTACCTACGTACCATACACACGCACTCACACGCACGCACAGTCGTCACTCGCGTATACGCCGCACGGTGTACACGAATTCCACGACCCAACGAAAACAATTGGTGATCCAGGGGTTACCAAAACGCGAGGAGAATGCACCGACGTCCGCGTCCGGATGCTACCTACATGATGGCATAATATTATTTATAGTAACCGTAAATAATATTCTATAGTCGTACGTCACGACGCCAGCGCCGGATTTTTGTACAACGGTCGCGGGTGCACGAAAGCGTATTTTTTACACGCGTACGCGTCGCAACCGTTTACGTCGAAATCGTTGTTCAATAATTGTGTTGTTGTCGACGCACGCGGACCCGCCCAGCACACTCGCCCCGCTACTACCGCGTTACGCGCTTTATTTCGGTTTGCACCGCTTCGCGGGCCCCCGGGCTCTAGCCGCCACACCGTGATTTTCGACGGTCTTTTATCCGAAATTGTACGCCCCGTACCGGTTTTCAAGACGAGAAAAAAACGGAAAAAAAAAAATCCCGCCCCGGCCTATACCATAATTAAACAGCTTGGTATATGTCCGGCATTTCCCGCGGTTAATCGCGCCGTACCGCTTTTCGGAGCCCGCGTCCGAAACGCCTTTATCGGTCTTATCACACCACTCTGTTATCGGTCGTGCGTTTAACGTTTATCTCGTCCGATAAGCGGTGGCTATACGATAAATAAAAAAAAATAATAATAATAATAATAATAATGTTTTAACGTTGCTTTAATTAATTTTTTCTTTCGATTTTCCGTTGATAATTTTCCAGTTTTCCGTTCATTGATATTCGGCAGTCGTCGGGTTCCGTCGTTTACGCTAGTGGACACAATGCCCAGCTACGAAATATGTTTGCTGTTCAAAGCACTGCCGAAGGTGAATATTATATTATTACCTACGTTTAGGCGACTAGAGTGGTTAAATATCGTGTTTATTGCACTAGAATGGACACCGAATTTTCTCAAACGGAAATGTATAGTAGTGTCTACAGTAGAACCCATAATCAGATTGTAATTTCTGGGCAGTTGAATAATAATGTATGATGGATATAATTTTTATTATATTAAATTCCTATTTGACTTGCCCATTTATACGAAAATGTATTGATAAAAGGTTCAAATATAAAACGCATCGCGCTAATTTAACTCTTCTTACAATTTTATCATTTATTTAATTGACACCTACTTACTAATATCTCATTGATAGTAGCTAAATACTTGTATTATTTGTATTATTATGCTGCTACAACATGAAAAATATTGTTTAATTGTATTAAAAGCTTTTAATAAATCAATTATTTGATACAAGATGGTTGTTTTAAAAAAAAAAATTATTTAATTTCCATGCACCTAAGAGGTGTGTTAATTAGTGAATATTTTTATATTTTCATTATAACAAGCAATTAATTAATAGGTACATTAACAAAAGCAAAATGTATATTAATATTTATTCATTACATAATTACCTATTTAATTAAATATTAATTTTATCATCACTTAACTAATGAACTATTTTTCCATGAAAAGCCCATGGTTAAAAAATTCCAAAAATATTACACATTAAAGGAATGCTAATTAAACGCAAAAGAAAAATGGCATGTAGATAGCAAATATGAGAATATAAGATATCTATGGATAAAATAGATTCACTAAAATATCAGTATAAAAAGCATGGTAAATGTAAAAAAAGTTAATAGTTTATTTATTAGTCTTTAGTTATAGTTATAAAAAAAGAAAACTGTCAAGCTGATTTTCAAATTATTTTATACAAAATTATACTTTGGAAACTAATTTTAAAATCACATTTAAACGTATCATTCATATCCTATATAAGTAAAACAACATAATATACAATTTTTGAACAAGTATAAATACCTAGTGCCACAGGCGACACTGGGCCTAAAGTTGTTTTACAAGTCTAAAAACTACTGAGAATTAGTCGATTTAAATGTATGTTTTTTTTATAGAGGGCAATATGCCATTGTAAGAAGAGTTAAATTAGCGCGATGCGTTTTATATTTGAACCTTTTATCAATACATTTTCGTATAAATGGGCGAGTCAAATAGAAATTTAATATAATAAAAATTATATCCATCATACATTATTATTCAACTGCCCAGAAATTACAATCTGATTATGGGTTCTACTGTAGACATTACTATAAATTTCTGTTTGAGAAAATTCGGTGTCCATTCTAGTGCAAAAAACACGATATTTAACACGATTGTAAACGTTTTTCCCTGCTAATCTTTATGCAACATTGCCATATCAGTATTGTGTATCAATTTGTCACTGATCATAGGATAATAATAATAAATAATTTTTAAATTATAAAAATGTGTATTATTAATTAATTAATTTTATTTTTTATTTTTTCGATTTATATGTCCTTCACTGAGAGAACTAGGACCCAGGAATTTTAAATAACTTTACAAGTACATAAATTTGTCGTACGAGTTTTGAGAAACAGTTACAGCCACCCACCCCTAATGCCGGCCTGATTATAGGTGAGGTTGAGAATTTTAGGTATCTAGAAATTTGTGTACAAAAGAACAGTGGCTTTCATGAGGATGCATAACATAAGATTAAGTGTGGTTGTATAAAGTGAAGGAAAATGGCAGGTGTTTTATGTGTCAAGAGAATTCTAATGAGACTTAAAGTAAGTTCTACAAAAGTGTGGTGAGACTATGTTATAAGGTTCAGAATGCATGGTAATAGACAGGAAATTAAAACAGAGAATGAGTGTAGCAGAGTATGCTTAGATGGATGATCAGTGACGAAAAAAGATAGGATAAGGGATGAGTACTTAAGAAGTAGCTTAGTCGTTGATTCAATAGTAGACTAAATGATAAAAAATAGATTGAAATGAATTGAGTATATCTCGGGGAATCTAGTGCAATAAGAATTGTAATGAAAATAAATGTAAGTGAAAAGGGGTGAGATTGAGAATGATATAGCCAATGTATATCAGTTGGGAGATTAAGTCAAGTTTAGAATGAGGGCGGTTGACCCTAAATAGAAATGAAGGTAAAGAAGAAGATTGCAAATTTCAAATAATAATAATACATGCTTCAATACGTGCATACTATATTGTTCGTTGGTACTGTAAAATTGCTTGTTGTAAGTTTTTTGAAAATGTTTGAACGTTATTATAAAACCTTATCACACTTATTTTTACACAACAAAATGTAATTTTACAGTAATATTTGAGATATTAATGTAGTATAAGTCTCACCTAAATAGGTTCAGTCATTTTTGAGATTAGTCAAGACAAACATATAAAGTCTTCAATTTTATTTACCTATATAATAGTATTAATATTAACTTTAATAACAGAAATTAATTTCAATTTCATTTTTTATAGCAACATTAAATATGTACAATGTAAAGATAGTGTCTTAATTAAATCAAACAATTAAATCTATTTACATTGATAAATTCAAAATAACATTTATATTTGTTTCACAACTTGAAAACGCCTCACAAATAATCGTTTAATTTTTATGTATAAAATATTTTACTTTAATCCACTTTAAACTGTTCTCAATCAAGTCCAAATGGTCACAGTTTTGTATCTTCCCAAGAATATTTTTTTCAGGGTACAAATATTTTAAAATAAAATAAAGAACAAGGGACAATTTTTTATTAAAGCAAATATTATTATTTTTAGATATTATATTATTTTTAATTTTTTAGTTCTTAATAACAACTGATCAAAATATCTAATAATCACATTTTTGTAATAAAATTTAATCCTTTACTTGATACAAACTTAAAGTTTATAACTTTAAGCAAAGTAAAGTTAAGATTAATATATGCATTTAGCATTGGGTTTTATTTCACAAATGAACACATTCTTTACATTTGATAATCTTATTACTTACCTAGGTACTCTAAACTAAAAACCTAAATCTGGTTTAAATTTATATTGTAGGATTCAAGCCGAGATTCTTAATAATATTTATAAATTCTTAACATACTGACCACTGAGGCAATGTATTTGGTTTTGCTTAGATTTCATCGGAGTTAAATATTCTTTAATATTATATCAATTATCCAAAATAATAGCTAGATAATAATTAATACAAATACATTTTAGAGCATTATATTATATATACTATAAATAGTTAAGTATCTTATCGTATAATATATATGTTACGGTGAATGTTGAAAATTTGATAATTTAACATTTCTGTTCAGTAGATTCAATTTTGTGCTGTTATTTTAATCTTAGAATGAATTAGCAGATTATCAAGCTTAAGGTATGAATACTAACTATTTTTTTATATTAGTTTTTCAATATTTTGATGTTTAAGCAAATAAAAGCATATGGAATATTACAATTTAAAAAAATTAAAAAAAAAAAAAAATTAAGTACCTATTTAAAAAAAATAAATCTATGTACAAACACAGAAAATGTTCTTACTTGTAAGTTTGATGATAAGCCAATTCAATATAATATCAAACTAACAAACAAAATTGGTTATACTGAACAGAAATTTGACTTAATAAAGTTTTAAATATTAATATAGTAACATATATTAATTATTAAAAAAACGACTTTTTAATGTTACTTAATACTATTCATTTAGTCTCTAAAAATGTAAATATTTATGCGATATTATCAGAATATTTATGAATGGAATTTTATTTTGTTTTATTTACTAAATTATATAATTTATTAGTATATTGAATAGTATTACATATTAAACAATTTATATTAGGCCTAAATGTACAGGCTTTTCAAGATAACTAAGTAATAATTAAATAACTATCTGAATAAATGTGAATTTCTCCCAATTAAAATTTGTAGAATAGACATGTCTCCCCCCTCTTATATGTAAAAACAGTAATGTTGAAAGTTTTTTTATTTTTTTCATTTTGACTTTTGGATTTATAATAATTATAAATCGAAAAAAAAAACTGTAATATGTTTATAACATATACTGAAAATAATATGTTATACAAATAAAATAAAAAGCACTTATTGTTTTTTAGCTTCAATTAAAAGAATGTTTAAAACGAACAGCAAATCAAATCTTTGAATCTGGTGGTTTTATACGGCGCATTGACAATTTGGGTACACAATCTACTCCCTGGAAGATAAATTCGCATGATGCAATATACAAACAGGCGAGTTATTTTATTGTTGAATTTGACGTACCCAGTTCAGCCTTAGTTTCATTCAATAACTATTTATCAAGGGACATTGATGTAATTAAACGTACAATAATCAAAGTTCCTGAAAATACTCCTCAACCAGCTTGCACGCTTCATGAAGAGCTTAAACCCCCAGCATACAGGTTGGTTAAATTTTTTAAATCATTATTAAATAAAAATAATTAACATGATATTGATGTTTTCTTTTTAGGGCTGAAGTCAAAGAAATGATTGCTATTGGAAAAAGAAAACGTGAACGAGAAGCAAGAAAGAAAGTACAATTCAACACTGGTTTGGATTATATGCCATTCCAAAGATAGAATGATGTTAAAACTGTTGATTAACTATTGTAAATAATGAATTTAGAAGTATTGTAGTAATTATATTAATATAATGTTAAAGTAATACAATATTTTGTGTACATATGAAGTATATTATATTATAATATTAGCTTATAGGTCAAAAAATAATAGAGTATACTAATTTACATTACACAACGAAAAATGAAAACAGAATTTTTAACATTCAAATAAACTTTAAATAGCTATAGTAAAAACACAATATAAACTAAAATATTTGTAAAAGATAAACGGTGAATTTAATAATTAATTTAAAATGTCTGTATAATTTAGGTTGGGATGTATGTTACCCAAGATACCCGGATATTAACCTAGGCGAATATTATTTAATATGCAGTTGTAACAAACAGATCAATGAACACACACGAGTAATTAATTTTCTCATTGGATTCAAAGACTAGCATAATAATTTACATAATCGCCCAGAATTAATTGGTTAAAATACAATCCAATGATAATTGTCTGAACGCAATATTGTTGAATGAGACTATCGTCATATAGTAAATCTAATTATATAGTGATATAAATGTTATACAGTTGTAAAATCTTAAAAATATTTTGTTGCAAATAGAAAAAAAGAGAAAATCATTAAGTCAGCGATTTTTATAGCGCTCAAAGTATTTTACCTATTTAAAATTACTAATCTTAAACTAGACTACAATCTTGAAATGACTAGGAAAAAAAATGGCCAACAATAATTTGTTATACCATGTTATAGTTACTTAATATTAAGGTAATAAGGTATTTATTGCACAAACTTAAGATTAGATTTCCATAATTTTAAACATTAATTACTATTAAGAAGAATGATTGAATGTTTGATCACAATTAGGTTGCAATAATGGTGAATGAAGTAGGATTTGTCTAGAGTGTGATTGACAAATGTGCGAAAAACGTTTGTTTCATCATATAAAATCTGAAAAAATTGAAATGAGTCAACATATTTAACTGATTAATAGGTATTAGGTATATTATATTATATTGTATTAGGTTCTGTTATAATAGTGTATAAGATGAGAGCTCTGGGGAGTTGGGGAGATTATGTGGCTGATAATTACACAATTGAAACTATTTTTGATTTTGGCGATTGGAGAACGGGGGATGATATATATAAATTAAACTATGATAATCAAGGTGAGACAACTTTACTATATACTGGTTCTATTACTCATAAAAATGTGTCATGTGGCTGGTCGTATATATTTACCAAAAGATTACCATATATTAAAACAAAAATTATACATACATTATGTATCAAAACAATAATGTGCCCTGCCCAGGCCATATCTGGAAGGAGGGGTTTAGAGGTTCAATTCACTCAACATTTTTTAAAGTTTCAGTATATAGTATAACTGTTGTAGATTATACTCTGTAGTTATGAACATAATAGATAATTTAATTTAAAACTTGTCTGAAAATTTGGCATATATCGGTTGTGTGTACCACTGTACCTTAGTTTAGTAGTAGTCTTAGTATTATACAATATATAAAAATATGTTTAAAATATAAGCAGTGGTGTAGCTGGATAATATTCAAGGGGGAGGGGCAAAATAATTTATTTTATTTTACAATAAAAACCCTGGCCCCCTTTGGTTTAAATATATTTTAGATTCTGAATGGAGCAAGGAATGTGTTTATTTTACAATGATGTTTATTTTTTTTTCTGCGAACAACTTTTCAATCAGAAACTTTGCTCCGATTTTTAAGTGTAGTACTTTTTTTGAAAGGAAAATTGACTGGAGTGGTACTTTGAGGTTGATTTTGATTTTCCCAGGGGTTTTCATAATATATTAGATATAATTGATAGCACACTCAAAAACCTGATTAAGTTTTCTGGTAAAAAAGTTGTTTGTAGAAAAAAATATAAAAAGTAAATATCACTGTATAACTAATGCATTCCTAATTCAAAAAAAAATAATTGTTATTAAAAATTAAAAGTATAAATAAACATACCTATTAGATATGTAGCTTAAGGTATTAAAAAAGATTGTTTTTAATTTTTAATAAAATTTGGGGCCCCTGAAAAGGAGTTAGCCCTGGGCCAATAATTTCATTAATCTAGCTCTGAAGTATATACTAGTTAATTAATAAAACAATTTTGTAAGTAATTTCATAAAGTACCTAGTAAAAAATAATATTTGCACTTATTTTATAATTGGTGAATAAATCGTATTCTTTTTTAACTAAAGAATATTCAAAGATTTGTACTGTTGGATTATCAAAGGGGGGGGGGAACTCCCGCCAAAATTATGCCACTGATCAGGTACTATTTTTACATAATTTTAACCGACCGTCGCTGCCGTGACTCTCGTCGTCAGCTGAATGCTGTCTGCTCGATCTTGAATTCTGTTTGGACAAAAACTGAAAAATACAAATCCGTTAATAAGGTATTTCGTGTTATTCGTACCACTGCTGCAGACCGCAATGGTACGAATTATTTAAAATCTTGAATCTTAAATCTTTTTCCGTAAGATTTATTTTATGATAGATAAGTACCTAGGTACTTGTATACTAATAATATTGTACCCGGTTATGGGTACTTACCACGTTTGATCGGCTCGTTGATTTGGAAGGCGATCGTTTGTTATTCCATTCGGCGATCAACTGGTCAAAGTGCTGGGATTGCGCTAAAGCCGCTTGTTCGGGTCCTAGGTTCTGTAATCACCGTATGAAAGTCTCGTGTAAAGAGAGAGTTTTGGATGATAGGCACGTTTACAGAGTTGGGCAGTATTTTCGGAACAAGTATCCAATAAATAAATAAATAAATAAATAACCAATAAATTGCGTTACTGAAAACAATATATCTAATATTGAGAATCTAGATGCTTATCAGAAACTAGCCCATAAGCGATAAAAGAGTCAGCTGGGTTATTCAGTTAACCTCTTGATTTTTCGAAAAATGCCTACATTAAAAGTTGAAAGTAGGTAATAGTACGATAATGAGGAGAATTTTGAAAAATAATTTAACCAATTAAACGCCGCATCTTTCAATATAGGTACAACATGCGTGAAAAATGCAATTGTTATTTTAATTTCAATGCAACGAGTATTTATAAATGCATCAAATCGGTTTAGTGTTGTCGTGTCGACAGGATCTTGTATTGAAATACATGTTATATACGTATCTAAAGTGTACCGGATATAGATATCGGAAATCAATTTCTTCTTACAGTATGCATATGCATTCGGATTTCTGTGCACCTACATTCTCCCTGTCCTCGCTTACGCCAGCCCGGCCTGGGCTTTAAATATTTCGAGTACCAGCCGGAGGAGTTTAGAAACTGAACATACCAAAATACTAACAAGAATTACCAACCTTCCCAGGTTTATAAACGATCTTACCATCAGGAAATCGGTTAACAACTCCTTTATATCAGACTCCATTGCGACATAGGTATTCAAACAATAGTACCTACACAGTTATAGTTATGTATAACTATTATCAGTGTTATTGACAGTAATCCGTTAGAATTAAGCTGTAATAATTGTAGTTATAACTATTGTAATTGGAGAACAAATACAATAAAAATGTTGGACTCTCTCCCCCATAAAAAAAAACTCCCGGGCGCGCCCCTGATGGTAACATTGGTAGGTACTCACTTGCGATCCCATATTTTCGTTGTTGTTGGCTTGTTTCGATATCTCCTCCATGCTGGCCGATACGGAAAACCTGCGTAATTTCTCGTCGACCGCCGCTCGCGTTATCGATGACGTCAAGTGGGCGTACTTTCTTTGCCACGTGTACGAGTCCAACGAGTATTCCTTGATCAACATCCTCCTCATGGGTTTCTTGGCAGCTAGCGATCTGTGTTCTGTGACAAGCGACAACAACACAAAACACGAACGTTATATTAACATCATGCAGACAATAGTGCGGTGAGACCCAGATTCAGGCCGGGTGATTAAAATTTATCCAGTCCATCGAAAAAAAACTAAACACCTACTAAACAAATTTTCCTAACGTTTTAATTTTCACAATTGGCTATTATACTTGTGACATGACCGAGGATATGAAGAGGGGAGGGGTTTAGACTCCCAATAAATTTGGGATTTTCATCAATGTCCATTTTAATGCAACACTTCAAACGAAAATGCAACACTTCAAACGAAAATGCATACAGAAAATACTTAATAGGTACTGAAATAAGAATTGTACAAGTTATCTTACTAGTAATATAACATTTATGCCAAGTCTTGACATAACTTTTTACCAAATTTTCAAATAATACAAGTAATTAACATATTATACAGACAAATGTCATGCCACCAAGCCACTAGGAAAATTCTGATTTCCAGACCGGCTATTTCGCTCCTTCACATACACATAATATTAGGTACTATGGTAGCTAATACATAGTCGGAAAGAAATCTCACTGGAAAAATAGTCGGGAAATTGTGACATAAACTTTGGTGGTATTAATCTTAACTAGTTAAGTAGTGTTCTCCTAAAATTGAATCGAAATACTGATGCTTGGAATAACCGCATGTGAAAACCAACAATATGCTTCATGTAGGTACTCTGGGTAATGATGTGCAGTTTTTTTTTTTCAAATCTATTTTTTTCAAAAAATGCATTTATAATCTGGGCTTACGTGTATAATTTTCAAATACCGTACCTAAGAAACTGTGATAAAGTTATAACAGGTTTAAAATCAGTGTGATACGAGTTGCGTCCTTAATGGGATTTGTTATGTTCGAAGTGTGTACTTTTCCACCGTCTTCAACAACAGGTTGGTATAATATATTTTCATTACAAACAACGACAAAGAAATGCTGTTTTTTGTTTATTTTATTAATTATATTTTTTTTCCACGATGAAAATACTTATATCAGATTGCATTCAATGTAAGTTTCATTCTATCAGACCCGAAAACTTGTAGGATTTTCTTAAAATTTCCAATCTGATAGTTGCAGTTTTATCGGGTAAAGTTTATTCTCGTTAAATTGTTCAATCTGTAGTCGTTTCGCTCCCTTCCTAGGTATATTGAATAGCTATTGCAAATAATTTTTTCCATACTCTATTTTAAAAAATTTAAAACGGTTACAGAAACTATTCATCGAAAATGTATTTTTTTAGATTCAAATTTTAGATTTGGAGCGTAGCTAGGGATCTATTGGTTTTGCTGTGATGCGCGTTTTTTTTGCTGTGTGTAAATAATCATCCGAAAAGAAATCTAGCTCCGATATATAGAGTGTAGCACATTTTCTGAAATACAATATTATCTATTTGGTACGTTTAAAAGGTTATTTTTTGATTTTCCAAAGGGTTTTTAAATAATTGTAAAAATCAGAAAAGGATGAAAAATGAAAAACCAACAAATTTACGGTGTGCGATTTCAATAGTTTTAAATTTTTACGTACGATGTTTTCCACCAGAAATATTTCTTCAATTGAAAAACGACTAACCCACACAGCAATTCGGTAACATTAATATTATGATAATATTACAATTAGATTACATTTTAAACATTTTAAAAACAATATTATTGTCACAACGTTCAATTAAACTTAATATTAATTAACATATAATTGAAAACATCATGTTAATGTTATTATTTAATTGTTTTTCTAAACATGTATAATAAAATTCAAACAAAATATTTTGGAAATGTTAATGTCGTACACGTTTTGATAATATTTTAATTTTACTGGCTCCTACGTTAGTTATCATTTGCTTACCAAATCAAATGGTAGGTATCTACTACCTATCATACGAATTGCCTTTGTTGAATTCTATAAATATGGATAAAAATGGATTTCCACGTAAACTGTTGGTACCCTTTGTTATCTATCGTCAAACCACGGTTATCGGGTATTCAGGTTATAGATGGATTACCGACTAACCGCGGTTTAGTCTTAATGTGTCTCCGACGAGCGTTTCGTTTTTCACCGAGTTGTCGCGAATTACATATTATTTTGTTAAATTGTCATTATTTTTAATACAAGTGTGTGCAGTGGCTGTGTGCAAGTACCAAGTAACAACCAGTCGAATAGAGTAAATCTACGCTGTACACACCATAATTGCCAGGTACGTTTATTTATTTGTGTTACAATTTTCACTTGCATTGTTATCGGATAAGCTAGAATTAGTTCATCAACCGGGTAGTATTGTCGATTTTTTCCTTAAATGTATATTTTCGCGTGTACAATAAGAATGAAAAAAAAATTGAGACCACAAGTCGACATCGTTTTGGGCGAAGAACTAAAAAAGTTCGGTTTTTCGGTTGGTAACCAGTTTATGTACGATTCGACCTAGGCCAATAATCAGATTCGGTAGTTACTTATGTATAAATGTGTACCTATTATATGCACTGAGCAGAAAGGTATTCAAGCTAAGTGCTGAGTGGTCATCACATTAATACCCTTGGAATATTTCCTCTCCATAACATTCAAAAGCTGTTTGTCCAACTTTTTTTTTACATAGGTACGTATTGTACTCGTAAAGCATACATAAAAAAAAAAAAAAAATTGATAGGTTACTAAATAGAATTTTTGCTTCAGTATCTTGGCAGGAACCTATATATTAAATATATATTTCAAAAAATAACACTTTGAATACTAAATAAATAGGGTACCTATCAAGTTATTAATAATTAGGGAGGCACCTATCTTATATATTTATTATGTACATATACTTTAACTAATTTCAATTAAAATACCAAATGTAGGTAGTTAAATCTTGAGTTAAATATAATAGAATATTCCAAGCTATTGATATTGTAATAAAACTTTGTATGGATATCTATTTAATATACAAATGTATATTCTATGTAGATTTAATTTTGATGTTATTAATTTCAATAAAGGAAAGTGTAGAAGATGTTTAACAGTGACCGTACAAGAAGAAGAAAAAAAAAAATGTAAATTAAATCATGCCCTCAAATCAAATTTTCCTAATAATTTATCACCTCCCCTCCCCCTCGAGTTGTCACCCCCTAAAGTGATTGCAAATATTAATTTTGATGATTCATTACAACACTATGATTCAACTTCTGTAATTACAAATGATATTCATTTTAATACAAATATTAATAAAATGCCTATAAATTGTATACCGATAATACCAAGTTCTCAAGCAAGTACTTATGATGACAATAGTTTTTTAGAAAATATTTCAAATTTAAGAACTTAACCAGATTCATTTACTATTCAATCTCATGAATGTTCAATACACAACTGCATAGTTTCTGGGGGTTATTGAATTTAATGTACCTCACAATGCAGTTAATGGTTTATTGAATGTTTTGAAGAAACATGATTGTTTTAAAAAGTTACTAGTTGATAGTAGAACTCTTTTAAATACCCCCAATGCATGCTTTCAATAATATAAGAGTTGTTAAACCAGGCATATATTTTCACTAA